TTTTGTCAAATTCATTTCGTATGCGATCGACATTTCGCGCGTAAATTACATTTGTGTCTCTCTGACGCGCGAAACGATTGTTCGAAACGGAGAGTGTTGGTGATAGCTGCCGGATGAGAATTTTTTATTTACGGGATAACAAGTGAGATATGAATGAGAGGAAACAATAATTTATGCATCTTCTTCCTTTTCTCGTAATAGAATGAAAATCGATTAAAATCTAATTATATCGAATTTAATTTTAGTTCACAAATATCTGTTCCGAAAAAAAAGTTGGTCGCGTAATACAATTAGTTATCGTGGATTTTTATATCAATGTTACTTGGCACACGCGTACACACAAAGTTTCTGGTTCTCACAGGACTGTTGCTGGCACGTGGAAATTGCGCGCAACTTTATATATATATATATATATATATACACACACACACACACACAAGCTGTGAGATATATAGTATTAATTCGTTCCGCTCCCGAAAAGCTAATCCAGACACGAGACTAACCCTTGTTCATTTTCTTCTTCGTCCTGCGTTCCCGAAAAAAAAAAAAAAAAATTCGTCCACTCTGCTCTTTGATACGTGACCGAGCTCCCCGAATCGTTTGTTCACTTTTTCCCCTCCTAAATCTCCGTGGATATTGCCGCGATGTTGCCTTTATACGGCGTTTTATCGCGGGAACGGTCTCTCGCACACGAGTCATACTTTTCCGTCGAAAAAAACAAAAAAAAAAAAAAAAAAACGGCGTAGAACACAAATTTATCCTTTATCGGAAACAGATACTCAAACCTCAAACAATTTACAATACACAAACGCGCGCGCGAGTTGGGTCTCCCATCCCGAATTTAGCATATGTCGCATTTTTTTTTCGGTTTCTGTGCTTTTATATTTACACTACGACAGATCGATGCTCATATATGTATATATGCATAAACATTGACATTGAGTAGCCTAATTAATACAAACCAGGCTATTGAATTGTATTTATAGTTGGTTAGTGTCGATTTATTTAGCGAATCGCGATGCAATTAATGTATATTATTTGTCGTCAATTATTATCATTATTTTGTCATCAATTCTCTCGCGTATATAAATTCATCGTTCCGGATGGATTCAATCTGCTGATATATAGCTGCTTCGAAAACTACGTGTAGAGGCTTTTTAACGGGATATCAGATTGCATCGCACACAGCTTAATACGAGCATCGAGCAATTGCGCTCTCTTGTCGAGATCTCACTTTCCCTCTTCGATACGGTCGGTGTTCTCTTCGTTAGCCTTTTTTTTTTTTTTTTTTTTTTTTCCACGTCGAGAGAGAACACCTCCAATGATCCGAAAAGACAATCTGGAGAGCCTCTTGATTCCACGGCGCCGTGAATACGTTTCTCTGAAAACGTCGCGTGTGTGTACCTGAAATCCCGAAAAAAGGGAAGTACCTTCTCTAATAAATTCCATTAGGCATGGGCTCTTGCGCGCAAGGGCCCAGATATTATGTTACGCGTTTTGACGTGCGCTCTCTCAATGGGCGCGCATCCATTACCGTATACACGGGACCGGTGTGTTGCTTGAGAAAAACGGTATTCGGAGATCAGCGCGCTCTCATTCAGCGTTCGAGGGGTCCTTCTATCCGATGACGGCGTTCTTTACACGCTTGTGCCCCTCTCCTCCGCGTCTTGGGGTCCCCGAGTTGGAGAGAGGACCCAAGTCCGCGCAAACCAGGCGAGCATAATTCGATTCACGAACGCTTCGCTTCCTCCTCCTCTCTCTTCTCTCTCTCTCTCTCTCTCTCTCTTTCTTTGCCCGCGTGCGCGCATCCTTTGTCGCGCGATGCTCATCCTAGACACACCGGATAGTGGCTCGCGAGGATCGGGTCCCGCGTCTTTTGTCGGATGTGCTCCAACTTATCTCCCGCCCTCCCCTTCTCTTCGGTCCTTCCCTACAAGTCTGTTTTTATTTATTCTCCTCGAACGACGACGAACCTTCGAAGATCCGTCGCTTTTTCTCGTTTGCGCTCGAGCTGTTAGAACAGCGAGAAAAGGAGTGACGGCAACGACGACGATGACGAAGACACCCGGACTCGCTCACCCTCTGAGATCCTTGAAGTAAATGTCGGGACAATACCCACTCCCGCCGATCTATTAGCAAGAATAACGACGTGCCGCAGACTCTTCTGCCTCGATGGCTTCTCTGCAAGGATGAATAGATCCTCGCGCGACTGCCTCGTCGAACGCCGCTCGAGTTTTCTCTATCTCTTGCTCTCTCTCTCGCTCTCTCTCTCTCTCTCTTACTCGCGAACGTTTCGTTACGTGTAATATAACGAGCGGATTCTCTAGGGTTAACAAGTTTCGGCGTTCAGTTAGAACAAGGCGCTCACCCCGTCAATTCCAGCGTGTCCTCTTCAGCGCGAGAGATTTCTATTAACAGAAATTATCTCGCGGCTCCCAACGAGACGCGCTTCGCATTTCTCGACACTAAGAGATCCAGGAAAAACTTTGTCGCAACTTTTTCGATTTTGATCGAAAATATATATATGTATATATATTTGCAATGGAGAGAAATGACGTGTATATATGCGAAAATCTGTATGTATATGCGTATTTATTTATTATGCATGTGATTTTGGAGAGTTTTGGAGAGCACAAGACTGCTGTATTAATTAAAATTTAATAGCCACCGCGTTGCGTGTGTGTGTGTGTGTGTGTGTGTGTGTGTGTGTCTGTACGTACGCGCATGTGGAAATATTAATATAAGGATTCATATATTTAATCGCGCCGGACACACACACACACACACACACACACACATCCGGGAATATAATAAAAGAATGACTACATTTGGAATTACGAATATGATTATTGCTAATTACACAATACATTAATTTGTTCGCCAATTATACGAGGTAATAATCACAGTTTACAATTAATATTGTATTTGCTTAATATTTTACGCGAATGCGAAAGAACCGCTGCTCCTTTCGTACATTGACTTTTACGTCCACGTGTAGAAAAAAAAAAAAAAAAAAAAGAACAAAAGAAATTTTGGCTCGGAAATCGCGTCTTCACGTGCTAGACGCATTACGTCAGTTTACGCGTCTCTACCTTCGTCGATGAGTCGAGATACGCATTGATAGCGATGCCAAATGGCGCTTTCCTGCCGGGGCGAAGGGAACTGAGAGAGCGGAATGTCGAAACTCTCGGAAAGTTCGCTCGTAAAAGGGTCGAGTATACTCTTGGTTGAACCAAGTCGGGAGGACGAATGGGAGGATGGGGAGTCGCATAAGCACGAATCGAAGTTGGTAGCAACCGACAAATGGATGGAAGAGGAAGGACGAGAGCAAAGGGGAGACGAGCACGCGATTAGACGAGATTGAGAAAGTCTTTTGTCGTCGCGCGGGATAAAAAAATTTTTTTTGCCTTTGCCTCGCGCCCTTCTTTTTCATCTTCCGCTCGTCCGGCCTCGCTTCGCCGCCCCCCCCCCCCCACGTCCTCTTCCGCCGCCTCCTGTTGCGCCCTTTATCGTCCAATAGGATATCAGACGACCGTTCGTTACGTAAGGCAGAAAAAGACCAGGAACGAATCCGCCTCATTGGCTGGCACTCGATGCAGAAGAAGCAGGTCGAATTTCTTGCCGACTCCCACAACAGATCCTCTTTTGGGCTTTTCGAATACTGTCGGTATAATAGCTTCCGAATTGGGGAGCAATTCGGTATCGCTAGTCAACTTGGTAAACATTCAACTTAATAGTCATACACACACACATACACACACGAGCATTGTGTATTAGCTAAAATTTAAATAATTGCAAAATAATAATAGCTGTATTATAAATATAGAAAATTTAAATTATCGTTTAAACCACATTTACGGAGATCGAAATAATATTCAAAAAGATAATAATACATTAAGATGTATTCTTGTACAAAGCTTAACCGAATATATTGCGGTTAATATATATCTGCGCTTTTTCGCATCGCAATGTGTAACAAAATGGCGCAGCGGTCTTTTGTATCGCGACCTCCGAATCGCAACAGGCTTTTCAATTTTTAATATCTCCCGACAATCTTTCCAAATCCGTGACACACCTGCGAATCCACGGGCGTCGCTTCTCGCGCGCGTTCGCGCCAACGCCCGAGAGCGAACTTTCGCCGGCTTAAAAAAAAAAAAAAAAAAAATCCCATATCGCTCGCCGGTTAGGGTTAGTATGTATGGTGGTTTTCGTCCACCCCCGACAGTCGCGACGACGGTGTGTGAATCGTGCCTAATCGTGAGATCGGCTCAACCCTACGCCAGATGAAAACCCAGAAAATCGTGTGGACCATCTGCCCTGGATTATTCGCGTACGAGCGCATTATAAGCCTCGAGACAAGCCCCCACAGCCGCTTTAGATGTGTCCGACGACGAATACTCTCGGCATTCGACGACGCTTTTCTTAATCGATTTTATTGCGAGATAACGTAACAGATAAACGCAGAGAGATAAAATTCCATATTCGTAAGATACTAAGTAATGGCTAAGAACACTTTATTCTTTTTTTCCATGTTAAGGTAACGTCGTTTCAAAATTTACGACAAAAGATAACATTTTCGACGAACCGAATGTAAGAAGATCGTGTTACTTTTTTTTTTCGCATTCTCCGGGTAGGTTTTTTAAAAACACAAAGGCTTGAAACTGGTCAATGCGGTTCGAAACTAAATTACCGTAGAAAATCTTTTTTTAACACGTGTGTTAGTGATGCAGAAAAAATTCGGGACGAGAAATGCGACGTAATAAAATCCTTGTGCCTTTTTTTTTTTTACGAAAAATACGTTTCTTCGATTGTGGAAATATTTGGGAAACCCTTGTTAACACTTTCACTTTTTTATTTACCCACGTGAGAGACGTGGATAAATTCTCCCACCCTTTCGGGTTGCATCGCGACAACGACGTTTGAGAAAAAAAGAAAAGCGTCCTGAGCGTTGTGAACTGTAAATGTAAACCTCTATTTTTTATTTTTTTTCTTTGTTGCAGGGTGTTTGTTGGACAGTTCGGCACCGCGGGGACCGCCTGATGTGCCACCCCGTAATCCCGCAATGAGTCGACTAAACGGAAGACTGCCAGGAAGTCACGCAGCGAGCGATCACGAACGCGATCCCGATCTCGAGCCATCCTGTCTCGTACGCACCCCATCCGGTAACTTCTACAATATACCAAGTAAGTCCACGAACACGGCAATCGTTAAGACTGATTTAGTGGGGAGGAAATGCGCAGAGCGCGGAGCGCGCGAAATACGTGGGAAACGTGGTCTTTTCTCTCTGTTTCCTTGCGTCCTTGCGTCGATCCGAAGTCGAAACACATCGTCGTTGAAAACTTGAGAGATAACGAAAAGGATATATTTCACAATCTTCTTTCTATCTTGCAAAGCTTATACGCGTGCAAATGTTTAGCAATAACATTTAAATCTTATCTCTCAACATTCCTGTAAAGTTTACGAGTATTTTAATCATTTATCAATTGCACACTAAGTGTATCTTATCTGATTATTCGTTTTATCGAATTAAGTTAAAATAAATAGCGCATAGTTGGAGAGTTATCGAGGGTTGCCGTTATCTTTATGAGAAAAGAGCGTGTTATCAACTTTGGCGGGGGACGCGAAAGAATTCACATAGATAGTTTTTACACCACCTTGTATATTTCTCGTATCCGGCTTGCCATTACCTTAATTAAGGAATATTGACTCGTGAGATAACTATAACCCCGGGACTTTTTTCTTTTCTTATCTCGATCGAGTCACGAAATCAAAAGAGAGCTCGAAGATTTTTGTCGTCTCTCTTCGCGTACGAACGCGAAATTGAACGGAAACTTTCAATAATGTCACGCGACCGTCGGAGTATTGTCCAAACAATGTTATAGCGTAACGCGTTAATTCCACAAATATATCCGCCGATATTTATTTATCAATCGGGAAGAAAAACGCGAGCGATCTTAATGGATATTCCGAGCGAGAGGTGTTCGTCGATAATGTCGACGATGTGTTCCACCAGTCTTGTGGAAAGAAGACTTAGGGTCGACATCTTTTGACAAGGGTATATACGTCGTAATCAGTGATAACTCGCCGTGAGAGACGAGGAAGACGCGTTGGTCGAAGAAAGACGCAGGATGCGTCGATAATTTCCAGACTCTCTCGCGTATCTTATCGTCGTCCCCGGACTCTTCAAAGATCTCTCACAGAAGCTGCGCGGTACCTGAAACGTTTCTTCTTCTTCTTCTTCTTCTTTTTTTCTTCTTCTTTTTCTTCTTTTTGACGAACTTTCCCGAGCGCCTCTGTTTGCCGAAGGATTCCGAGTAACCTTTCGGCGCTTTATCTTGAGAAAGCAAGGCACGTGATAGCGCGCGCGTTCGACGATGCTCGCGTGTTTCGCGTGAGAAAACGCGACTTCTCATGGAATAAAAGTTCGAAATAAAAGTCCGGACTTGTTGTCGGTGGTTTGGAGAGGAGCCTCGAGACCCAACTTGACTCTAACAAGCCGAACGATTCTCAAAATTCAGTCGTTGCATCAGGATGAGAGGCAGAATCGCAACGGCCTCGCAGCAGCCTCGCTAACTTGGCCTTTCATGAGTTTCTCTCTCCCAACTTACACTCGCTCGCGCACACGCACAGGCGATTTAATTAGAAATTTAATTTAAAGTATCGTAAACAAAAAAAAAAAAAATAAAAATAAAAATAAAAAAACACCGCCGCGCCGCCGTTGATGCGGCGGAACTTTTCGATATATAAGGGTGAAATATATGTTAAACTCCGTCCGTTTCGTTCAAGAAGATAAATAAACCGGAAAACATGAATCACAAGCATTCATCCCGGTGATGTATTGCAAATTGTGAAATTGAATTATATTGCCGCAGTATTTTGCATTTTCAAGTCAAATGTGATTTCGACTTTGGTGAATCGAGTTTCCGGGGTTGGACTTCGGAAAGACTTTGATTTTGAAAAGTAGAGCAAAACTGCAGAACCAAATACAGAAACAAATAGGCGATTTGACGAATGGCTCGATTTCCATATTGAAGAATTGATGATTTGCGACCTTCTCGTAACCCACGCATTTACCCCGTGTGGCGATGAAGGACGTTCCTTCTGACGTTTTCGTTTGTTCTTCTTTCTCGCCGTATGCCGGGCTCGTTTCATACTCAAGGAAAAGAAAAGGACGTCTTGGGGTGACATTTTTCCTGGAGCTACTCGACCGGTGCGTGCTATCGACTATACATAGAGAAAACAACAGCGAAACCTAACCTTTTTTTCACTGTATAAAGAGCGTCCCTCGGATTTACTCTCTGGAAGTGTCCGGCACAAGCGGTGCTGACCGAGTGACAAACCTTCTTCTTGTTCGGTTCGTCGTAAAGATTTTTCAAATTCCACGGTCTCGGGCGCCGAGAATCTCTTTTTCCACCTTGCGCGTTTGTTATATCTTGCGTTTTTTTTTTTTTTTTTTTTCTGTGCAAACAGTAGAAACTTCGAAGACTCCCTTGAAAGCCGTGAGACAGCTGTGATCGGTGATTTACGACCCGACATCTTATTGGCTCCTCCGGTTATGACACCGTCCGACGCTTATGAGCGTTTGCATAATGCTTAAATCCCCGTCCGTACAATTCCAGGTCTTCGTTTCGAAGAATCAGCACGCTTACCTCATTCTTTTCTCACAATGTTTTGCTACTTTGTTCCCCATAATTGTGTTGTGAACCGAGAAGATCAATGTCTAAATTAAAAAAAAAAAGAAAAAAAAAAGTGAAAACGATCGTGTTATTCTAGTTACGTTAGTTCTATTTTCTTTCACATCAGATTAACGCGCATTAGGCTGCATATTAATGATTTTTTTCGAGTTTGCGTTATACACACGCGCGCGCGCGCGCGCACCGATCAGATTTCTTTAATTATATTTGCGAAGGATATGTTTTAGTTTACACAATTAATTGTACGGTTTCATTGTGATAAACGCGTGAAGAATGAAAATATATAATCGTATTTCATAAAATATATCGCTCGCGAATGCGAACACAAACCGGAAATCATTAATGCACTCTGAGTGTGTACTTGCACGAGAATTAATTTATATATTTTGAAATTGTATTAAATTTGCAATAATTCCCCGGTAGAGCAACGTAATAAATTAACAGTTGTTAGAATTATACGTATGTAATAGTAATATAACAAAAGTGCAGGGATAAAAAAAAAAATAAAAAAAAAACAACATCATTTGCCGCTTAGCATTTTGTATAATTTTTTACACGTTTGCTTTTTGTAGAAATATGTGACAAAAAAAGGATATGTTTTAATGTTTATATTATGAAACATATATTTTATCTATGCGTGTAAAATTTTGCGTTTTATAAAACATTTTGTAAAAATCCTGTTTTTTTTTTTTGTTTTTTTTTTTTATGTACATCAAAATGCTACGTGTACACGTTTTATTTCGCGGTTTTTTTTTAGAATAGAACGTTCCGCCGAAATTCTACTCGTCGGAGAGTGATTAACGTGCTCGAAAGCCGCATTCAACCCTTTGCCGAAGCTATTCTTCGCGTGAGGACGCCTCTTCTCTCTCTCTCTCTCTCTTTTTCTCGTGAGCGCATCCATGACGGTAAATCACCTGGCAGGTCGCCAATTAGAATGAATTCTCGCCGGCGAACCGCCGATTAGCAGATATTCCCCTTTAATTTGATTCCGGGCGACAGGGGTCGTCGTCTCTCGTGTACTCTAAGCATCCCGAACGAAGGAAAAAAATAAAAGTGAAAGACACCCCCCTTCCCCCTGAAGTAAGAGAGATGGAGAAGGTTGAGAGTATCCCTTCCGAAATCACCGTAATCACGTATATCTGGCTAAATGGCATAATCACCGGATTTCGGTGGGCCGGAGAGCCAACACCTGCAATTAGCGCCGGTGGAGTCAGCAGCTTCGGCCGGGCCCCTCTTCGTCTTCCCACGCCCGTGTTTTATCGCTCTCTCGCCGCGTACATATAATATGTATATATATATATATACATAGATATGTACGTATGTAGAGGTGCAGAACGGTCTCGAGTTCCCCGTAAGAAGACAAAGGCCGCTGAAGTAACGAGCACTCTCTGGTCTCCTTATCCCTCGCGCCCCCTCCGCCCCTATGTATCGAGCGTCCCGAAAAAGGGTTTCGTGAAGCGCGCGCGAGCTCCGCGAATGGGGCTAAGTGTCAAGAACAACAAAGCTCGAATGCCGCTCTCGCGCGCGTAAACGTGTAAAGTGGCTCATTAATATTCAAAACGGTGAAGCGTTGCGTTTTAAATGCGCGTCGTGCCACCGCCGCCGCGCGGCACAACACGCGCGGATGTAGTCGCACAGCCCGAACTTCTGAAATTAATTCGAGACTTGTTTCAAATGTAAATATGAACATTTTGAGGACGCGCTTCTTTCTTTGCTTTAACGTATGTTCGTAGTGTGTATGTACATTTGAAATTGAATATTTGATTTTATGATGACTTTTTTTCCCCCACCCTCGGTGTTTTCCGCTGATCACAAATGGCGATCGCACGTTTGACCGATTTTTTTTTTTTTTTTTATTACAGCCGGATAAATAAAATTTGTTAAACGCGCACTTCACGCGACGCGCGGCGCTTATATTTTCAATTCGCGGCTAAAACGGCACTACGGCCACCGCTATTTCGGCGCGATATCGCACGCCGAAGAGAGATGTAATAGAATTCGTGCGCGCGATAGAATCCCGCCGTACCACGTCCGAAACTTGTACTTGCGGTTCCCCCTCAGTTGAGGATTAACGCATTAATGCCACTCGTGCATATTGTTGGAAAAGCGATCCCTTAAACCACCATCATCCGCCGTTAATCATCACGGCGCGGCACAACTACCATCGGTGAGCGTTCGAATATGCGCGAAGTGAACGGGTGGCCCAGCGCTTGCTTGGAGAAGATATTTCGCCTAAACTAAAACAGCAAAACATACACGACTCTCTCGGGAAAAAAATAAAAAAATTATAATATAAAAATAAACTATAATATTAAAGGAAAACAATTTTCTCAAATGCATTTGTAAGTACTATTAAATTCTTATTTAAAAAAAAAAAAATAAACGAAGACTTCTTCCTTCTACGTGTTCTCTCACGTCTCCTCCGTGCCTGTGAAATCCTCTCTCGCCGTTCGATGACTTTCCAGAACCTACCGAAGAACGCACGCAAGTCCTCCCCTTTTCACGCGAGAGATTCGTGGCCCGGTTGCTTGAAATTCAAGCCCGAACCACGATGAATCATATACTTATCGATTCAACAGGAGCCCCCGACCCGGAGTCCGCGCCTTCGTCTCTCCTCCGTTTCGTCTTCGTCTTCCTTCTGCTTTTACACACGCATATGCGGCGACGTCGCATACAAGTCGCACGAATGGAAAAAGGAGACGGCGCTTCGCGTCTGGCATCACAAAGACCTGCGGTCTGTCTGGTCTGGTCGTTCGCCAGGGAAAAGCGTGCTCTTCGCGCGCTAAGAAAAATGAAGTATCGACAATCGTCGTAATTTATTTAACAGCCGACCGCGCGCGCGCGCACGCACCGGACCTTCGCGCGCTCGTAATAATTACACGTTATCTATCTAATTCAAATCGGAAATGCTGCGTGAGGATAAATGCAAGAAGAAGGTGTGTCATTATCCCGTTGCAACGCGACGTGTATATATATGTATTCTTAACTCCGTCAAAACTGATAGAGAGATCGTCTATCGGAACGGCGCGTGTCTATTAGCAGCTCTAACAATATCATTTACCTCGGTAAATCAGTTAGCTTTCCGATAAACCGTCTAATCTTTACGGCGGTACAATCTCAAAAATAGACGAGCGTAAACGGTCGAGAAAAGGACGAGAAGGAGAAGAAGAAGAAGAAGAAGAAGAAGAAGAGAAGAAAAAGATCTTCTTCTCTTTCTCGTTCGCGCGCGCTCGCCCGACAAAGCTATTTTACTCTACCAGTTTCCGTACATTACAACTTTACCCCACGGTAACAATGCGATTTCGTATGCATTACGCAGTATGTAAACTACACCGGCGTTGAATTGCGTTTATAGTTTGCCGGCGGAGAAAACCTTGAGAGGGGGGGGGTAAAAGAGCGAAACGACGTCCAGCCGTTTCCCACGAGAAATTTCGCCGATCTGTCAGACGCGAGGATATAACAAACTGTCTTCATATCGCTCCGCTTTTCTTTCTTGCAGAGATACCGAAGAATGAATACAACAACAAGAATCAGTCCACAGGGAACAGTCCAATAAAGGTGGAACTGCAGAACAACATGGACAGGTAAGAACCGCGTGCCCGCACACGCCACACGTTTACCGTGCCACCCAATATTTCTTCGTCCACGACGTGGTGTCGGTCACGTGAATAAACGAACGAATTGAGAAAACTCGTGTTTCGGAAACCGAACGCACATGATCGAGAGAGCGTACGTACAAGAAAAAGAGGCCCCCGGTGAACGACTTTCTGCTCTCTTTTTTTTTCTCTCCCTCTCTCTCTCTATATATATATATATATATATATGTTCGTTTCTTGCCTTTTCTCCTACCGCCGCGACAGGAGCACACTCAAGAGAGGGCCTCATGAATCATCCATTCAGTCGGACTCGTACAATGAGTCAATGTTTGAGCGTGGATTGTCATTCTCGAAGAAAGGCCGTTCTCCTTCGCCTGCGCGCGACACTCGCCGTGGAAAATCGCCGTTCCTCTTACAAGGGGTCCTTACGGGAAGGGCGGTCACATTCGCCACAGACTCTCGAATCGAAAACGCGCGCGCGGCTCTCTTCTAGCGGAGCCAGAAACGCGCGTACGACGTGCGAAGACGGAACGTATTTACGAAATCGGTAAAATACGAACTTTCTTTCGGAGCGCAACGCGCATTTGATAACACGCCGCTCTTGAGAGTGGCGAACGTACGAAAATTCGCGAGTTTACCTTCGGAAACTCTTACGCCGTACACACACGAGAAATTTTCCTGAATTACATTAGCGCGAGACTTTTCGAACGAGTTTTATTTCGAGAAAACGATATATTGTATGAAGTGAAACGCCGAAAAATTCGACAATGACTTGCGCCAAGTGAGTCGTCAATATTCGAGAAACGCTTGTTCGTTCTTTTTTTGTTGCAAATTTTATGGTGGTCTGGAGGACAAGTACCTCGTGACAACACGACGTGAAATGTAAGAAGACAAACAGCGTGACCGGGTAGTTTTTTTTTTTTTTTTTTTAAATTCGTGCAAAATTGTATGTAATGTGTGTTTCACTTATCTTTGTTGAAAATTAAAACAACGAGAAGAGAGTGCGGTGAAAATGTAATAAAAATCAAAACCGACCGCCTTCCGAAAACGCACGATATTTCAATATTGAAACTTTGTAACGAATAAGTCAAACATTCGGTTAAACATTTCGACATCCAGTCGTAAAACAGAGAATTCAGAGAGACTGGAAATTTCAGATCGTAGAAACTCAAAATTGTCTGGTTTTATTTGCGCAATAGAAAAAAAAAATGTGCGTCCAATCCGCGCAGAATCAACAGCGGAGAGAGAAAGAGAGAGAGAGAACGCCGATGAAGGACGTTCTCTGATAGACGCCGCCGCCGCCTGGTTCTCGTTTTTTTTCATTATCACGCGGGTGCAACAAAAGCAAACGCGCTTATCCGGCCGCGTTTCAGAATCCGACGGTTGCGTTTAAATATTTTGGTTAGACATTTGTGAGTTACTTGGAGGCGGCGGCGGCGGCGGCGGCGGCAACGGCAACGTTCAGTACAAACACACTCGAGGGCTGCTGCTTTTCCACGGGGGGTATGTAACGAGCGAGAATACATTACGAGTTTCTCGAACGTTACGAAGGGAGAGAGAGAGAGAGAGAGAGAGAGAGCTGAAACTCTATGCTATACCGAAACTTCGTGAGTTCGACCGAACGTGCTTGAAAATTGTACCGAGGTGCCGAATTCCTCGACGGTGTTTCTCTAATTACAACGGCGGCGGGCGCATCGAGAAATTATGTAACACGCTGTGTAACGTGGAATTCGGGACGGGAGAGATGTTCGCGTGTGTACGGTGACCTATAACTAACTTTCCTTAACTTCTTGCGCGGCGCGACCCGTGTGATAAGGATTAATCTCTGACCGCTAAAGAGCGGAATGATCATTAGAGATGCGCGTGTCGGACAAATCTCTTCTTGGTCGCTCGGGAAGAAGTGTGTGTGTGTGTGTGTATGAATTTAAATGCGGCCTGTGCCATACAAATCGACCATTATCGATTTTCAGAGTACCTTTACCTTACGGGCACGCCCCGTCGATGATCCCGATGAGGAGACAAAGCATCCGCTGTCATTTCCGCAAGGGAATCGATTGGTGCAGCTGGAAACTAATTGCCATAGTAGTAATTATGCTCGCGCTCTGCTTGACCGCGGCATTAACCTACGTCGCAGGTAATTATTCGCATATTGCATTCCTCTAGCGCGACAGTAGCATTTTCTTCTCTCAGCAAAAAAATCTCTACTCCTCGGCTCCGCGCATCGAACAATTTTTAAATTCAAAGAAAATTCAAGAGATGAGAGAAAAAATTTACTGCAATTAAATCAGACGTGAAATAAATTAAAAAATTCTTTACAAAGAAATTAAAGAGAGAAAACCTTTTTTTTTTCTTTTTTTTTCACAACACTTCTTATTTTTCAAACTTTTTTTTCTGAAATAATTTTTAAACGCCTCTGTGTGTATCATCTCTGCTGTGAATAAAACAAATCACGAACTAACCTATAGAAAAATAACGTAACGTTTTCGTGGAACTAACGTCACATCCAGACCTAATTGATTCCTTATTAAGCTTCCTATTTAGTGAACTGGTCGTATCAAGGCACAAAGGCGTGCACGGTGCTGGTGGGCGAGAACAGCGATGCCAAGCTGTCATCGACCGAGGCGAACAAGACCGTGGTTCAGGTGACGTCGTCGCAGTCGAACAGCAGAACGCGGCAGCAATCATCGTCAGGAGGTAGTATTAGCACGTCGGATAGCATGTTGCTAGATGGTGTCGTGTACAGCCGCAAGCGTAGAGATACGTTTAACGAGCATGCGTTGCACCAAACTGTCTCATCATCACCATCACCATCATCCCTTCATGACCCCGAAGAGCTGCCCTTGACCCCGCTCGCTGAGACCGAGACCTCAGAGTCCGGGTCAATCCCGTTGCATGAGGAATATTCCGGTAAGATTGTGCATGATCCTCTTGCGGAGCATGCGGACAGCCAAGGTCCGGTGAAAGGAGATGTCGAACAATCGATCGAAGTTGCTGCCACCGAAGTTGCTGTCGAAGACGTGTCGCCGGAATCGATGACTCCCTCGGGCCCAGTGTCGCTTGTTGTGAATGTCTCTTCTATCACTACCACTATTACTAACTATTCGCACGATAGTTCGTCTCATACCACTGTCGCTGTTGATCACTTCGCCTCTTCGTCCTCTGTTTCTATCAACTCTGATCGCTCTTCCTCGTCAACTTTCGCTCGCGAATCGTTTCGTAACGAGCAATCCGGCGCGACCTCGCCCCGAATTCCCAACGAATCCGAGAACACTTCCGCGAAGTTCACGACGACGTTCGACGACGACGACGACGACGACGACGACGACGACGTCGGCGGCAGCGTCGGGACAGGACAGGAGAACGTTCGTGTCCCGAAACACGATGACTCCGCGGATTTCGATCCCGATAACGCGCGCACGTCGTCCGAAAGTTCGGACATTGCCGAAAGCGGTTGTTGTCCCGAAGCCGCGACTTCTGCATCCGGCGTGGAGAAACTTGGCGCAGATAGCACCGACGACGACGAGGTGGGGGGCGGAATCACGGAAAATGACAGTAACGTTCTCGCCGCCAATTACAGCGGTAATGTAGATGCCACTGATAGCACCGTTGTAACAACAACTACAACATCTTCGGAGGTGCGCTCGAATGCGCCAACCGAGAATCGACACGTAAGTAGTTCCGACGAAGTAGTTCCCGTAGAATTAGACGCTAAAGTTTCGCCCGGTGCTAACGCAGATAAGAAAGCGAGTCTGTTATCGAGTAAGAACGAGAAGAACGTCCGGAAATCCGAGGAAGATGCGCTCCGAGGAGTCGCTAAAAATCACGCGTTTGAAAAGAAAATTGTTAATTCGACGGAGACCGAGTCGGTCACTTCGGCGGAAAGTCGCGACGACGACACCTCGAGGACGGTGAACGCGACCGCGAAAAAATCGGCCAAGTCCCAGATGTCGGACATCGTGAAAGAAACGCGGGAACTCTCGCGGGAACATACGTCGTCCGAGACCGAAGCCTCGCCTAACATCGTTAACGTTCCCGAGGAACAATCCGAAGAGCTTCAACGAGATTATCCCGTGCCGATTTACAATTACGAACAAGACGAGGTGGAGATCGTCGATCTCCATCGCAAGAAACAGCTAACTGTAAAAACCGAACGAGCTAATTCACCCGACGAAAAAATCTCCGACAACAACGTGGACGCCAACGTTTTTCGAGAACGAGAACGGAACAAGGACGATATACGCGTTATCACGAGAGAAGGAGACGACGAGGAATTCGTTCGCAAGTTCGAGGAGAAGTTTCACAAATCGGCCGCCAAGGTCGATGACGAATCGAAAAGTTTCCCGTCAATTATTAAAACCGATCATAACTCATCCCCAACGAACGCACCGCATGAAAAAACGATGCATGATTCCTCGGGCAATGCCAGGTTTCCATCTAACGCAGATCATCTGTCTAACTCGCCGATGACCCAACGGGTGCAGATTGTGGAGGTGCCTGTGTATCGCGATCATTCGGACTCGTCATCCTCATCGTCTTCTTCATTATCGCAACATCGGGTGCTTATAAACGTGACAATCGCCACCGAAGATCGATCAACCGCTTCCTCAAGGCCGCTCTATGTCGTGTCGGTATCCGTGCCGACGCAGGGTGACGCAAACGATCGTTCGTCCGGCATTAACATTAATCAGACGCAGGTGCACGAACGGCTTGCGGAGCCCGCAGCTAGCACGAAAAAAATCCCTGCTAACAACAACGCGGACCCGATAGATGCGGTTGATACGCGATTACCGCCGCCGCCTCAGCCACCTGCCTCGCCACCAGCTCCACCGATCTGGGCCGGCGGCGAGTGCGAATGCTTCTGCCCGTGCATGGGCATGGAGGACTCGTCCTCGGACGAGTGGGACTTTCCGGTGATCGACGACGACAACTTCGACGACGAGGAGCACGAGTTCGAAAACGTTAGCTCGTTGTTAGCGAAGACGTTGTTAGCAGAGAAATCCCCAGAGTTGGGGGAAAGATCAATAGATAAGGAGGGGAAGCGGGATGAGAAATCCGAAAAAGATTCGGTAAGGACCGAAGCGACCGCGACCTCGACCAAAGACTATTATCCTTCGTCCACAGATGACACCGTGGAGAATAGCGAGTCAACCTCCGCGTCGTCGACTTACGAATCGGAAGTAAGCACAACTATTACGGGGGCTTGCTCGGGAACCACTCCGCTGCCCCCAGAGCCCACTATACTGATTCTGGAAGGTGAGGCCTTGTTTACGATTGTCTTTTTCTCTCTCTCTCTTTCTCTTTCTCTGTGTCTGTTCTTTTTTCAGAATTATACTTCCTTTCTATTTGAACAGACGCGTACTTTTTCTCTTCGCTGTCTGTCGCTAATGTCTACTTCTTCGCTTTGTTATTTACTCGTAGATTCGCGTAAAGCACGAATTGTCTGTATTGTTACAATGGGTTTTAGTAGTCGTAGTTGTTACGCTTTTTGTGGTAGCGGGTATATAATACAATTTTTTGTGTAGATTTCAACGTGTATGTGTGCGTAAATGTGATATAGTAATTATAACGTATGTAATTTTTTAATCAGTTTTTTACACGAGATGTTGCTCATATTGTTAATGATTGTGTAACTATTGACTGTTGCTGAAAAAGTAATTTGTTTTTCAATTTTAACAGAAAAATTAATAATTATATCGAGTGAAACAAATCGAGATGAAAAGTGTACATAACATGTACTCGTGCTTAAACTTGAGATATTTAACTCTTCGGAATGAACGTTTTTTTTTTTTTATTCATATGTCGGGTAATGTAACTTGTATCTCTCGTTAATCTAATCTATATTTTAAACGCGATCGATTTTCTCAGACAATGAGTCAGAGTTGAGTGGCGGTCGACAATGGTATTTAATTTTTACCTCTCGTAGACAGAGACAATTTAATTAACTGTACACACTACTACACACTAATGAAAATCCGGGCTTACATTACCTGGCAGAAAAAACCGCCGCTAATTTGCGTATCCACTTCTTTAATTACCGTACATGTACACCTGCAGGCGCGCGAACCTTTCCGGCGAGGTCTTTCCCCCCTGACGGAACGACCTTCGCTCAGGTCGGTTTGGGACAGAAGCTGAGCAAGGAGATACCGCCGTACGGCTACTGGAATATGCAGTTCTACCAATCGGAGGCCGCCTACGTGCGGTTTGATTACAGCATCCCGCGCGGCGCCAGTATCGGCGTGTACGGAAGAAGGAACGCGCTGCCCACGCACACGCAATACGATCTCCTGGAGGTTCTAAGCGGCTTCAAGGCACGGACCACCAGGGCGTCCCATGTTAGTGTCATTGTATGTGCCACCACCCCATTTTTATTTCTTACGTAACACACAAAAATAATATAGTCTCGGGTAGACTATTTTTTTTTTTTTTTTAATTTTTTTATTTACCCCCTGCCGTACGCACGTGGCAACACGCGCGTAAAAAAAAAAGAGATCGCGGGAAATATGAATTGCGAAGATTCTGGTGAGGTTTATAAAAATGAACTTTTTTCACACAGCCTTCGATTAAAAAGGAGGTGACGCAATACATGGAACCGGGACACTGGTTTCTGTCGCTCTACAACGACGACGGCGATCCCCACGAAGTCTCGTTTATCGCTGTGATCGCCGAGGATATGACGCACAATTGTCCGAACGGTTGCAGCGGCAAAGGCGAATGTCTCTTGGGACATTGTCAGTGCAATCCCGGTTTCGGTGGCGAAGACTGCAGCGAGAGCGTCTGTCCCGTTCTCTGCAGCCAAAAGGGTGAGGTTTTTATTTTTACATTATCGGAAAATAGCTCGATCGCCGAAATTAATTGGTAACCGATTTGTAAAAAAAAAAAAAAAAAAAAAAAAAACAGCACGTGTTTAAACATTCAGTTTTAAAATAATCCGTATATTTGTTCTCTTATGTAATACGTGTAACACTATTGTTGTGCCGCAGTAATGTTGAGAAGTGTGCGATAAAACAGAATTTCACAGCCGCGCGTTTCGGTTAAAATAATATTAAATTAAAATCCGTATCGGAATTTTAATGAACTTCAAAAAATCGGTTATTGGTTACGGGTTTGATTAAAATCCCATTGAAACAGAAAGAAACACAACGATCGGGAGGTTTTTTAACCGATTAAAAAAAAAAAAAAAAAAAAAAAAAAAAAAAAAAAAAAAAAGAAAAAAAAATCAAGCCTGGTTACAGATTCGTTTATCGATTTCTTTTAAATAGAAATCAAAGCCGATTACGTTTCACTCGCTTCAGTATTGCACTTTTGCAAACACTCGCGATACATATTAAATTCCTGGTGCTTGATGTTATCGATTTCTCTCTTTTTCTCTTTCTCTCTCTTTTTCTCTCTCTCTCTCTCTCTCTCTTTACCGGCAAAGCGATATGTGTGTCTGTATTTATTTACTAAATGTAAAATAAAACGTTTCAAGAGTGATCGCATTTAACAGAGATCCAACAGTAACTCAATTTATTTTTGTAACTTTGAGATCTAAATTGAAACGCTAGTATTATCGATTGAGTTTCAGTTGAGTAAAAGTTTGTATTTTTCGGAAAAGCGACTTTTCCGAATTGTATACCTCGTATGTGTGTGTGTGTGTGTGTGTGTGTGTGTGCGCGCGCGTATGCAAATACATCTCTCTCGTTCGTATCGTCGAGTGATTTCGTCGTTTCGATTTAGGCGAGTACATAAACGGCGAGTGCCAATGTAATCCCGGCTGGAAGGGCAAGGAGTGTTCCCTGCGACACGACGAGTGCGAAGTGCCCGATTGCAACGGGCACGGACACTGCACAAACGGCAAGTGCAACTGTGTGCGCGGTTACAAGGGCAAGTACTGCGAGGAAGTCGACTGTCCGCATCCAACTTGTTCGGGCCACGGTTTCTGCGCCGAGGGCACGTGCATCTGCAAAAAAGGTTGGAAAGGAGCCGACTGCAGTCAAATGGACAAGGAAGCGCTGCAGTGCCTGCCGGACTGCAGCGGTCACGGAACCTTCGATCTCGAGACCCAGACCTGCCTCTGCGAGCCCATGTGGTCCGGCGACGATTGCTCGAAAGGTAGGAAATAAATTGCGTAAACATTATTCAATACACTTTACGGATTTTTTTTTATGACGACTCCACATCGCGAACACAACACAGTCTCAAGTCGCTCGTATATCCAAATAAATAGAGTCGTAAAATATTCGTTTTAAAAAGAGATCTGACTGTGATCAGAATATTTAAAAGTTGAGTTAAAACTCGCGATCTATAATCGCGCGTTCGCACACTCGGCGAACTGATATGACTCCTGTGTTTCCAGGTTTAACGGACGGTGGCAGGATTTGAAAAAAAAAAAAAAAAAAAAAAGTAACGTTTTAACGAGTCTTTCGATTAACTACTTTTTTCTTTAGATTCCCCTCTTTTCACACAGCTTCCATCCCCATCCGTCGCAGAAAATCGTCGCTTTGCTCTCCGGCTTCTGAGTGTGTCGCTTCGAAGACTAACACATTTCCGTTTTCTACTTCCGACCGTTACTTCAAGCATTCCGTTCTCCGCTGTGCTTTCAGAACTGTGCGATCTTGATTGCGGTCCACACGGACACTGCGTGGACAACGCCTGCGACTGCGTGCCTGGCTGGTCCGGCGAGTTGTGCAATCTGAAGCAATGCGATCCCCGCTGCAACGAGCACGGACAATGCAAGAATGGCACGTGTCTATGCGTCACAGGATGGAACGGAAAACACTGCACGATGGAGGGATGTCCGAATTCCTGTTCCGGTCATGGACAGTGCAGGGTGTCGAACGACGCGCAGTGGGAGTGTCAATGTTACGACGGCTGGGACGGCAAGGACTGCAGCGTGCTTCTGGAACAGAATTGCAATGACGCACGGGACAACGATAAGGGTACATTGTTCGCGTGAATTTAATTTTTTTGTTTTGACATTAAAATTTCAAATACAGAGATCGATTTATCCATTTGTAATAAAAAAGAACGAGCGCACGGGAAAAAAAAAACATGGAGTTGCTTCAATTAAAGTCGACGTCACGGACTGTCACAAAAAAATAAACAAATAGTTCGTCCAATTGCATATGCGATCAACTTGATATATCTAGAACTTCTTAAACCAATTATCTGCTATGTTCAGAAATATTGATGTTGCGTCAACAGAATATATTTTCGATCAAACCGAAATGCTGTTGACTCAACATCATTTTTTTCCCGTGTATATTATAAAAAAAATGTAAACACAGTCGCATTGTTTTCCTTGATTCGTTTAAACATTTAATAATTATTCAAAAACTTATCCCCAATTAAGTACTTTTTTGTGTTCGAACGGGAAATAATGTACTTTTTTAGATGGTCTCATTGATTGCGCGGATCCGGAATGTTGCTCCAATCACGTATGCCGCACCAGTCAGTTGTGCGTCTCGGCGCCTAAACCAATCGATATATTGTTGCGGAAACAACCGCCGGCCATCACCGCTTCCTTCTTCGAGAGAATGAAATTCTTGATTGACGAGGGCAGTTTGCAGAACTACGCTCGTCAGGAGACTTTCAACGAGAGGTAAGTTTGTCGATTGTCGTGAAAAACTATTTTTTTACCCCTTTCGTCCTTTGCGAAACCACTGTCATCGTCATAGTCCTCGTCGTCTGCGCGTTGAAATCGTTAGCGAAAAATTGTCCGTCCCGATGTCGATGTTTACGTTTACACTTATCTTTCTGCGTGTCTCTGACTAAAGTGATAAAATACGAAATTCAAAAAAAAAAAAAATAAAAAAATAAAAACATGCAATTGTCCGTATTGACTCTATACAGGTTGTTCACGTTTGCCACACTTCCTTTTACATGTGGATTCCTTAAGCAATATAGAATATACTTATATACAATATATGAAATATATTTTTTATTGACATTTTTTTAAATATAGCTTTGTTTTTTTTTTTTTTTATAAAATAAATGATAATGTAAAACTCGTTTGATTTTATAGCAGTTTGTGAAGAAGCTTCTAAAGTTTAGCAAGATATTTCCAATAGCTTTATATAACGTAGAAAGTATTGACGCGTTGATACTGTCTTATTAAGGCCGCGCGTTATATTCCAAATTAGGCAAAGGGATCCGTCATGACAAAGGAGGTGCATGGGGAATCTGCAAAAGCCTGTGTGGAGCGTAAATCGCGAAGGTCGAGAAAGTTGCATGCTCGACGGGACGACTAAAGGTTATTAATAATACGAATACGGTCCCTTTGACTCGAGCCAGGAACCGAATCGGTTGAAAGATTAGTCGGGTTAAAGCCGATCGATCTCTATTTTTAACTAAACGGGAAAAGAAACGGTGTGTGCACAGAGAGGAGGGTTCCACAGGCTAACTCTTCCTCTCTCTCTTTTTCTATCTGACAGGGACCCGGTAATCTTTAGCTGTGCCTCTGCGCGCATATTACAAGATACACGCATTATATATATATACCCCTTGTACATCTCTCTATCAGTACACGTGTATTTTATACCGACAGTACAGACACGAGGATGCATACATAGATTTCAATATATTATATCTGCGTTGTTGTGACCCGTGTGAAATCACATCCCAAACAGTTTTCTACATATGTTTTGTACGTACGTGTGCGCGAGCGTGTGCCCTGCACTAAAAAAAAACCCGCCTCTGTCCCCTCTCTTTTTCTCTCTCTCTCTCTCTCTCTCTCTCTTTATATATTTCTCTCTTTCTCTTTCATTCTTTTTCCGCCCCCTCTATATCTTCATCGCAGACCCTTACGATCTATCTATCGGTATATCAATCCAACACCCTCTCTCACCCATCCACCAACCCACCCCCCCCCCCACCCTCTCACTCACCCCCTCGTTCTTTTGATCCTCTTTTTCTCTCTTTCTCTCTTTTCATCTCATGTCCGTCCGAGTGGAGCTTGCGTGAATGTGTGAGTCCATGTTTAAGCCTCGAGCTTTTCGCTCATCATGCCGGCTAAGGGAGTATGGGAAGGGGATACAATAACCGGACAGTTTTTTCTCCCCGACGCGTCAGACGGGTCCATCGGAAGGGACCAACAAATTCTGGTAATAATCCCGAGACGCGACGTATCGAAATTCTTCATAAAAGCGGAAAGTTTTCCTCAGACTCTTCTATATTTTCATATCCCGCCTCTGAGAATCCTTCTACTTTTTTTTTTCTCTCTCTCTCTCTCTCTCTCTTCTCCCTTTTGTCTTTGATTCTTTGTCCTTGGTTTCCTCTCTTTCACCTTCCTTCTATTTTTCGCCTTTTTAATCGCATCATTTTAACTCGGCTCTGTTTTATCCGTGCTGCCCGGTCAGTATGTTCTGGAATCACTTCAACACAAGGTAAGAAAAACCAGACGTCGATAAGGTTCGACTTTAAAAAAAAATGAAAAAAAACGAGGATCCGTAATAAGATCCGTCGTGTGGTAGCGGCAACAAAGAACCTGCTGCTGTTTGATAATAATAATAATAATAATAATTTTCGTGCATTTTCGTATAATCTTTCACGTATGTGTAAATACATCTCTGCATCCTTGATCGCAACGAGCTGTGCGTGTGTGCGTTCGACTGCGTCTTGAGAACGTTCTGACCTCTTTTCTCGATTCGATTTTTTGAGTCTAAGCAGGTCTCCATCTTAGATCATGTACCATCTGCACTTCCTCGCATTTTGTAACATCAGTTATTCTCAAGAAGATGATACGCGAGTACATAGATATCGGAACTTGGAAGAGAAAGCCAATCTTATCTCGGTACTAGTGCGCGATGATGTCTATGTTCTTCGATCAACGTGAGAATAACAAATTCACACAATGTGTACGACTCGCACACAGTGTATGATCTAAGAATCTCTGTGCTGAACAGTTGAAAACACATTTCACACGCTCGTTCGAGCCTCGCACTTTGTCCTCCAATTGTTGTTGAAACACATTTTCGTGTTGCATGGTTCAGTTACCTTTTTATTCCTACGTTGTGTTTCGTGCCTTTTACGTTGAGCTTCCGACTTTGTGTTATTTGTGTATTATATATACATATATATATATATATATACACACACACACACACTGTTATTTGTATATATATTGTGTATATATATATATATGTGTATATATATATATATTTACGTACAAGTAGTGAGACTTAATATATCCTCGACCGTGTATATATGCTCTTCAGTGCCAAAGAGGCACTACGAAGGTTCGACTGTCGTATGTCCCCGTCTAAAAGGGACGCGCACAATCTGACAGAGAGATCCATAAATCTCGCGTTTGAAATGAACAAAAAAAAAAGAAAAAAAAATAACAACAAGAAGAAAGTGCAGCGATTATATTACGTCCGCCGATTATTCGCGCGGCGGAACAATCGCACAAAGAGTCGAGCGATTCCTCTTTAGCACTGAGAAGCAAACTTGACGAAAGTGCATCCGCGTTGAATATTTATCACGTATTTGCATACGCGATGGTGATCAATGCCCGATATATCGAGACTACTTATTTAACCGGCGAAAAGGATTCTGTCACATGTAAATGGATGCACATTACCCTGCGGCGCAATTTTGCCTCGATTGCTTCTGTCCCTTTACCGTCCGGCAAAAGTGCACTTTGCGTTTAATTATAACGTTTCTCCCTTATCACGGATATATCGATCTACTGCCGATGACAATTATGGATCAATCTATTTTCCAAGCTTTTAAATCTGTGACAGAATGATTTTATCTTTCTTTCTCTCTCTCTCTCTATCTTCTTTTCTTTGTGATTTTCTCCGCAACCCCATTTTATTACATCGCACATCCTTATATTGTCAACATTTTGACGGGAAAATTAATGTATTTTAATAATATTAATTTCTTTTTGATATCTTTACAGTATTATTTTTTAATCGGTATAGAAACACGTAACAGACACATAATCTTAAAAGATAAAGACGCGCGATTTATCCTTCAGAAAAATGTGATAATTTTATTTTCAACAAAAAATTCAACGCAACTTTTAAACGGCAAATAAAAAGTGTGACAGAGTATCTTTTTGTCGGTGTTTTTCACTTCGAAGGAAATGTTCAAGAATGAACACAAGTAAAAAAAAAAAAAAAACAGTAGATTGAAATTAGTCTAGACAATAGCGGTTGCTTTGTTGGTAGTGTGCGACGAAGCATACGAAGAAGTGATGATCTTAGCCTATCGATTGGCTCGCAAATTACCGTGATGATTAAAACGATCGTTGTCTGAAACAGCCGATCGGCGGTCATACGTGGTCGTGTCGTCACGCACCTCGGCACAGGACTGATGGGCGTGCGAGTCAGCACAAGCACGCCACTGGAAGGCTTCACTCTCACAAGGGACGACGGCTGGTTCGATCTTTTGGTGAACGGCGGTGGCGCCGTGACTCTGCAGTTCGGCAGATCACCTTTCAAACCGCAGAGCCATATCGTCTTCGTGCCTTGGAACGAGGTGAGCACACAAGTTCGAATTACTGACTAAACTTTACTATCTAGAGCTTCTGAGCTGGCTGGAATTGTGTTACAATACAATTGTAATACTTCAATAACATTTTCTCAACAATATTTGTTTCACGAGCTTCATAAATTTGCGAAACGCAAGTGTCCACACAATTGAAGACAGAGTTTTACTTATAAATACGTCTTGTTCGTTTTCACCGCACAGGTCGTCATAATCGACAAGATCGTCATGAGCACAGCCGAGGAGAAGACACCGATACACGTCCCGCACGCGTGTGCGGCTCACGATTACGATATCATGAAGCCGGTTGTTCTCGCGACCTGGAAGCACGGTTTTCAGGGAGCTTGTCCGGACAAGAGCGCGATTTTGGCCGAGTCCCAGGTCATACAGGAAAGCTTTCAGATACCCGGAACCGGCTTGAATTTGGTGTATCACAGTTCCAGAGCGGCCGGTTATCTCTCCACCATACAATTACAACTGACTCCCGAAGTTATACCGGCGACCTTGAATCTCATACACCTGAGAATCACGATCGAGGGTATACTATTCGAGAAGACCTTTGAAGCTGATCCCGTGATCAAGTTCACGTACGCGTGGAATCGTTTGAACGTTTATCGCCAACGCGTTTACGGAGTCACGACCGCGATGGTGAAAGTTGGCTATGAATACAGCGATTGTAAGGACATTATCTGGGACGTGCAGACAACTAAGTTGAGCGGCCACGACATGTCTATTTCGGAAGTCGGGGGTTGGAATCTCGATATTCATCACAGATACAACTTCCACGAAGGTATCTTGCAGAAAGGAGACGGGTCGAATATTTATCTGAAGCACAAACCGCGTGTTATTCTCACCACCATGGGAGACGGTCATCAGAGACCGTTGGATTGTTACGATTGCGACGGACAAGCCTCCAAACAACGTTTGTTGGCGCCCGTTGCTCTGGCCACTGCCGCGGATGGATCTATCTTCGTCGGTGATTTCAACCTAGTCAGAAAAATCCTCGTCGATGGAACGGTCAGAACTGTGGTTCGACTAAAGTAAGTAAAAATGTTATTTACTTTTGCATGACCGCGTTTATATTGTTTCCTTTTGTATTTTAATTGTCATTTGCGCTTGTTGTTTCAGCGCAACGAGAGTGTCGTATCGTTATCACATCGCTCTGAGTCCTCTGGATGGCGTTCTCTACATATCGGATCCGGAATCTCACCAGATCATCCGCGTTCGCGACACCAATGATTACACAGATCCCGACCACAATTGGGAGACGGTGGTGGGCTCCGGAGAGCGTTGTCTGCCCGGCGACGAAGCTCACTGTGGAGACGGTGCGCTCGCGCGTGACGCCAAACTTGCTTATCCCAAAGGCGTTGCCGTTTCCGCGGACAATGTTCTATACTTCGCTGACGGCACGAATATCCGAATGGTCGACAGGGACGGCATTATAACCACCGTGATCGGCAATCATATGCACAAATCGCATTGGAAACCGATACCTTGCGAAGGCACATTGAACGTCGAGGAAGTTCATCTGCGCTGGCCGACCGAACTGGCGATCAATCCACTGGACAACTCTCTACACATGATCGACGACCACATGGTCTTGCAGTTGGCGCCGGACGGTCGCGTTAAGGTTGTCGCTGGTCGTCCACTTCACTGCGCTTCACCGTCTGCCTCGTTCGACACAGAACTGGCCACTCACGCCACTCTCGTGATGCCGCAGAGCATCGCGTTCGGTCCATCGGGCGATCTCTACATCGCCGAGAGCGACTCGCAGAGAATCAACCGCGTTCGCGTAATCGGCACCGACGGTAAGATATCGCCGTACGCCGGTGCCGAGTCCAAATGCAACTGCCTGGAGCGCGGATGCGATTGTTTCGAAGCCGATCATTATCTAGCGTCGACTTCCAAGTTCAACACCATATCTGCCGTGGCGGTTTCCCCCGACGGAGTCGTGCACATTGGCGACCAAGCGAATTATCGTATTCGTTCGGTGACAGCGAGTATCCCCGACGCAAGCGGCGCGAGAGAATACGAGATCTACGCACCCGACACGCAGGAGATCTACGTGTTCAACCGATTCGGTCAGCACATCGCCACGAAGAACATACTGACTGGTGAGACCGTGTATCTGTTCACGTACAACGTCAACACTAGCAACGGCAAGCTCAGCACGGTGACAGACGCGGCCGGCAACAAAGTCTTCTTGTTGAGAGACTACAGCAGCCAAGTTAACTCGATCGAGAACACGAAGGGACAAAAGTGCAGACTGCGAATGTCCAGAATGAAGATGCTACACGAGCTGACCACGCCCGATAATTACAACGTCACCTTTGATTATCACGGACCCACAGGATTACTGAAGACAAAGCTCGATAGTACCGGTCGTAGTTATGTATACAATTATGACGAATTTGGCAGATTGACTAGTGCGGTAACTCCTACCGGTAAAGTGATCAGCTTGACGTTTGATCTCAGTTTGAAAGGCGCCGTGGTGAAAGTCGGACAGAACAACAGAAAACCCATTTCGATGCTGATCAAAGGCTCGTCCGTCGTCACGAAAGTTGGCGAGGCCGAGCAAAGAACGACGGTCCTCGCCGACGGTTCGGTGGGAAGAGTAACACCGTGGGCTCACACAGTCAGCACCGATACCATGCCGTATACGATTCTAGGAGAGCTCGAACCTTTGCTAGGTGAGAGCTACCCCGTGCCAGCTAAGCAGAGAACAGAAATTGCCGGAGATCTGGCTAACCGTTTCGAGTGGCGATACTTCCTTCGAAAGGTTCAAGGAAACAAGAATCGCGGCAACTCGAAGGCAATCGCTCAAGTTGGCAGAAAACTCCGAGTGAACGGTGAGATTCTGTTGTCGCTCGAATACGACAGAGAGTCGAACACTGTGGCCGTGTTTATGGACGATCGAGTGGAATTGCTGAACGTCACCTACGATAGAACAGCGAGACCTGTGAAGTGGAGTCCACGAAACGGTATCTTCGCCGGCGTCGAATTGGAATACGATCGATTCAGCAGACTGACGAGCTGGACGTGGGGTGATCTCAGCGAGACGTACGGATTTGACAGAGCGGCCCGATTGTACGAAATCAAATACAGCGACGGCACGTCTATGGTGTACGGCTTCAAAGATATGTTCAGCAGTCTGCCGCTAAAGGTCACCACGCCTCGCGGAAGCGATTATCTTCTTCAGTACGATGAAGCGGGAGCGTTGCAGTCACTGACCACACCGCGGGGACACATACATACATTCTCTCTTCAAACATCACTCGGATTCTACAAGTATCAGTACTACTCGCCGATGAACAGACATCCGTACGAGATTCTTTATAACGATGACGGTCAAATTCTTGCCAAAGTGTATCCTCATCAGAGTGGAAAGGTCGCTTATGTCTATGACCACGCTGGAAAACTGGAAACCACACTCGCAGGTAAAATGACTAATGTTGTACTCGTGTTTTTATTTATAATAAAAACAAATATTACGAAATTATCAGACGCGCAATTTACACAAATCATCATTTTTTTCTTCTTAGGTCTTTCCTCAATACATTACACCTATCAAGAAACGACCAGTCTGGTGCGCAGTATCGACATCAATGAGCCGAACTTCGAGATGCGCATCGAGTACAAATATCACGCCGGTATTGTGAAAGATGAGAAGATCAAGTTCGGCAGCAAGAGCGGAATGGATAACGCTCATTATCGTTACCAGTATGACGGTAACGCGCGAATATCCGGTATCGAGGTTGACATAAATGGCAAACAACTTCCTCAGCTTCGTCTCAAGTACAATCAGAATCTCGGCATGTTGGAAGGCGTTGGCGATCTCAGAATATACAGGAATCTCTTCAACAGATCTGTCATGCAGGATAGCAGCAAGCAATTCTTCACGTACACGGATTACGACGATCACGGTCGCATCAAAACTGTGATGATGAATATCAGACAGTTGGACGTGTTCCGCATGGAACTCGAATACGACAATCGCAATCGGATTAAGATGAGAAAACTGATGATCGGAAAGGACACGCTGGAGAAGAAGGATTCGTCGAGAATCGAGAAGATCACGTATAACGCGGACGGTCACGTGCTCGAGGTGGCGGACACCGAAAACAACTGGCAGTACGCGTACGACGAGAACGGCAACGTGATCGGCGTGACCGAACACAACGAGAAGATCGTTCTCGGTTATGACAGCGGCGATCGTGTGGTTCAGTACGGTGATGTTGAATTCAACTCGTATGACGGACGTGGCTTCGTTGTGATTCGCGGAGAACACAAGTACAGGTATGCGTTTTTTTATTCAATTTAACAATATAATTAAACTTAACAAAATTTAAATCTTGTATAAAAAGATATAATTATATTATAATTATAATTATATATTATATTATATTATAATTATATTATGTTAATTCTCTTTTTCTTTCTCAGATACAACTCCCGCGGTCAGTTAATTCACGCGTCCGAGCACAAGAAATTCCAGATCTGGTATTACTACGACGATCGCGGCAGACTGGTGTCGATGAACGACGATCGGGAAAACATCACTCAGTTCTTCTACGCGAATCCGAAAACGCCGGATCTGATAACGCATGTTCATTTCCCGAAATCGTCCAAGACGTTCCGATTTCTTTACGACTCGCGCGACTTTCTCATAACTGTGGAAACGTCCGAGCAACGGTTCTACGTCGCGACAGATCAAAACGGCTCGCCGTTCGCTCTGTTCGATACCAACGGTAATCTCATCAAGGAGATGCGACGCACGCCATTCGGTAGAATCATCAAAGACACCAATCCAGATTTTTATCTGCCAATTGATTTCCACGGCGGTCTCTTTGATCCTAACACCAAGTTGATTTATCTGAACAAGAGACTTTACGATCCGACCGTTGGTCAATGGATGACACCGGCCTGGGAGCAAATGGCCAACGAACTCACGACGCCGACTGACATATTTATCTATCGCTTCCGCAACAACGATCCGATCAATTACAAGCAGAACGTCGAATACATGACCGATCTGGCGAGTTGGTTGAAGCTTTATGGTTACGACATCTCGGCCATGCTCGGCTCCGAGTATACGAAACAGATGGTGTATCAGCCGAGCGCCGTGGTTACGTCTCCGCAACTGACTCCTGACTTCGGTGTGATGTCCGGTCTGCAGTGCATCGTGAATCGGGTGCAAGAGAAGTTCTCCGACTTGGGCTTCGTGCCGAAGCCGTTGTTGAAGTTGGAACCGAAGACGAGAAACTTACTGCCACGAGTAGCTCATAGACGAGCGGTCTTTGGCGAAGGTATTCTAGTGTCGCGCGTAGGCGGACGAGCCTTGGTGAGCGTGGTGGACGGTGAAAACAGCGTGGTACAGGACGTGGTTACGTCGGTGTTCAACAATTCGTACTTCCTGCCGCTCCACTTCAGCGTGCACGATCAGGACGTTTTCTACTTTGTCAAGGATAACGCGCTCAAGATCCGCGACGACATGGAGGAGCTCCATCGGCTCGGCGGCATGTTCAATGTGTCCACGCACGAGACGACGGAGCACGGCGCGGGCACGTGGAAGGAGCTGCGACTGCACAATTCCGACGCGGCTGTTGTGATCAAATACGGAGCTGATCCCGAACAGGAACGGCACCGGATTCTGAAGCACGCGCACAAACGCGCCGTCGAGAGAGCTTGGGAGATCGAGAAACAGCTGGTGATGGCCGGTTTCCAAGGCAGAGGAGACTGGTCGAAGGAAGAGAAGGACGAGCTCATCAGCCGCGGCACCGTCGACGGCTACGAAGGCGTGGATATCCACAGCGTGCACAGGTATCCCCAGCTCGCCGACGATCCCGGCAACGTCGCGTTCACCCGCGACACCAAGAGGAAGAGACGGAAGAGCGGAACCAGGCGCAGCAGGACTCACAGACACGATTCGTGATTCGAGAACGTCGCTACGCGAGTTCGAAGTAACGCTTGGAACCCGATTCGGGCGTAAATCCGAAATCCGCGAGTTCAGAGGGGAGGAGGGGGGAACGAGAGAGGAAGAGAACGCGGCGTGATTGGGGAGGGAAAGATGATGGACGGTTTTGGCTGCCACAGACTGCGATTTTTCGCGCGACTCGCTTTTTGAGAAAAAAAAGTCGCGCGGCTGTGACGTCGTCGCTCTTTTCTTTTCTCGATCCTACTCTCGGTCTCTTCTCCCCGCGTTCATCGTCGTCGAAAACTCGGTCGACGCGAATGAGATCTAAACCACGGACGCGCGTGTCCGGTGCAAACCCGTTTCTCGTGCCATAAGTGCGCGCCTTCATGCGCGATATATCGCGACGTTACAGATCACGATCAGGAGTCGAATATGTGCGAAAACGACGGGGAATGAGAAGAACGGATCGCGAAGTGTCAAAATTAAGCTAGTCGCATTATTAACGAAATGAATATTAAAGCTTGTTACGTGGTGATTAGTTTATAGACGAGATAAATCATGTGACGGAAAGAGAGAGAGAGAGAGAGAGAGGGAGAGAGAAATGATGAGAAAGACCGGATAGAGGAGAGTCGGCGCTTAGAGGTGCGAAAAGACGAGGAGTGCGTGCGTGAACTTACAAAGGTGCCGTCCGCGACAAAATCCGCTAGTGTTTTTGCGAGAAAAGGATAGGAAAGAAGAAGAGAGAGAGAGAGAGTGAGAGAGAGATCGTATGTCTCGGACTTACGTCGGTCGAATTCGAGCTGGTGTTTACTCACGCCAACCACAGGGTCTAAACGAGACACGCACACACGCGGAAGCGTGTGAAACACCTCGGCGCGTTGAAATTAGAGAATGTGTGTGAAAGAAGATAATTTTCGATATATGTATTAAAAAAAAAAAAGAAATATACTCCAAGGGATTCTGAACGCCAGAATTTTTCTGGAATTTTAGAATAATACTCACCTTTGCATTTCGAATCGCTACGCTTTCGTCCGAGGATGGGGATGATACGGTTTTTTTTTTTTTTTTTTTGTTTTTTTTTCGACACAGGTGTCCGTGGATCGTCTCCGTGGATCGCGTCGCGAGATAACCGTGGAAAAACGCGAGAGAAAGGGAGAAAGGGAGAGAAAAAGAAACAAAACGTGTGTGTACGGTAGAGAGAACAGATATACAGCAGATATTTTTAACATGGCGTAAAAATCGGTGTACTAGATGCGAGACGAGCAAATGTACATATAAGCTACTGAAACTTAATGGTATAAGTGTAGATAAAAATTATATCGTATATAAAAACGTACATATATATAAATATTATATATGACATGAGAAAGATTACGGTCGTAAAAAACTCAAGTGGGGAGAACTGTCGATACCGCTTTTTTATATGTAATAAAAAAAAAAAAAAAACAAGGGAGTAAAACGAACACGCATTTTAGAGAATGAAGGAGAAAGAGAGAAAGAGCTCTAGTAGAATACTTCACTCACGTCCCCCGAGATGTACGCGATTACGTAAAAATAATTTGCTACGGGGAAAGTCGCGCGAAGTTATCGGACGCGTCACGATTTTCTTTTTCTTTTTTTTTTTTTTTTTTTATAGAAATGTAAGAAATTGCGGAGAGAAAAGAGATAGTGAGATTTTCGCGCAAAAGAGGACGCGCGAAACGGATAGTTCACGTTAATCTCGACCCAGGCCTACGAATAATTTAAATATTCACATACCCACTCAATGTATACACACACACATACACACACACACACACACATAACTTACCACACACTATCGCTTTAAAATCATCGGTCAGATGCATTATCGCACGAAAATCTCGAAACAAAACAATTCGCGCCGGCACGTGCAAAAACGCGTAATTGAATATTACCGAGCCAAGTGGCATTTAAAATTCAAAATCTGTCAAATCTGAAAAATATCTATATAGAATTTGAGTACTATTATTTCATGATTGTGAAAGAGGATAATAAAATTAAATGAAAACAAATAACTTGGTTGGAAATTTTCAAAATAAATATGATGTGACATTTGCTTTTGATTAAAAACATAACTGAATTGAATTTTATTTGCAATTGTAATAGAAACTAATTGAAACCGATAGTTATAAATTTTTTTTTTTGTTGCGACGTTGTATACAAGTTTTTGTTTATTTTCCTTAACTTTTATTTGAGTTCGACCGAACTGTATGGGGATTTTAGATTTGACGCATCTTGATCGCGGGTATATACGAAGCTGCAAGCGAATTCTATCTTGTGGTAGACAACGTAGAGATTACATGTAAATAGTCATCGGCATCACGTGTGAACGAGAATGGAAAACTTGTTTACGCGCGACGTGACACGATCACGTGATGAAATAAATAAATAAATAAATAAATAAATAACACGGCCCGACGTGTGTGTGACGACGAGCGACACGGTCGTAACGGGACGCGTCGAAGTAATAATGTCCAGAAGAAAAATAATAATATAATCTAATAAAACACTAAAGATAAGTAATAAGAATAATAAATATAGTAATAATAAAATAAAGTAACGGAAAAGAAAAAAAACGATAATATTACCATTGTACGAAAAAATACCCCGCCTATCTTTCTACTAAAAAGGAAAAATTATTTTTTGAATTGTGTCGTCGAAGAAGTCCTATGTAACCGTGTGTATGTGGGATCGCCCCGTGAAAAAAGAACCTCACCCCCGCGCTCCACCGAAAAAGAACGTCCCTTAGAGAATAGACGGATCAATAAGAATCGACGTGGAGAGATTCGCGCTGGAGCTAGTTCTCGGTTGTAATTTTCCGATCCTCCGAAATCGAAGATCACAATTTTTGCATTCGATCGAAAGATTATTTGCTCTCATATCGGAATTTAGTTGATTATTTTATCGCACCGTTTTGTCGAACCGAACTCACTGTGTGTCCAAAAACTAAAATTTTAAATTGAATCAATTTTGCAGATCGAGACAAGCGCACGTAATTTCGTCGAAAAAAAAACAAAAAAAAAAACGAGTTTTCTTCGGTTCGTTTTAATTCGTCTACTTTTTACAGGGAAGCGTACTTGAAACCCCTCCTCTCTGTAACTGATATAGCTGAACTTGTCGGTGTTTATCAATATTGGATACATAAGGAAAAAAAGTAAAAAAAAACGTAGATCGAAGTCTGTGGTTCGGAATGAAATAACCGACTAAATAGAAAGTAAAGACGCAAAAAAAAAAAAATAAATAAAATAAAATAAAACGAATATAACGCATAACATATATAAAATAGGGGTAAAACACGGTGAGCCAACGTGCGAGCCCACGCAGCTCCACCACGTTGTGTTCCACGTAGGCGATATATTATATATATATATTTATATATATATATATATATATACATAAAAAATACATAATCATATATAACTACAAACGTACGTACTAGTTGACGAGTTAACGTGGGGTTGTTTAGCAAAACCGGTTAAGAAAGTGTGCTAGTGAGAACCTTAACATCGCTGTACATATCTGTTATGTATAGCCGAGAAACAAAAAAAAACAAAAAAAAAAAAACAAAAAAAACAAGAAACACGCCACTGTCCCTCGAAAGTAGTCTTCACATCCTCGCATAAAACAAATTTTCTACCACGAAATTATAGAGAATTTTAGCAGCGAGATGTCATTGTGATTTACGTACATATATCTATAACTGTCACATAATAATACACATCATATATTTTTATTCACATGAATCTTTTTTTAATCAAAATTACACAAACCTTAGAGTATATATACGACGATAATGTGTTAGCAAAACGTTTAAAAACCAGATATGTCAAAATGGGTCATGTGAAACGCGATGACGGGAGTGACTTTTTTATTTATCTTTACTTCTCACCCGATTTTTACACACAGACGAGCCGCTAGGATTCCTATTACATTTCGCTCTGAAATATTTCGTCTGAATTTTTTTTTGTACAGGTAAATTTTTTTCGCGTGCGTTATGTAAATGTCTTCTTCTTTGGAAGGGAGCCCCCGAGGTCGCGGGCCAGGCATATCGATCTGTGATTCCTTCAAACATGACGAACCACGCAGAGAGAAGGAGAGGAGAAAAAATTTTTTTATATACTAACCCTCGTATATACAAACGGAACCAGATCTTGGATGCGGAAAATTGCTCCAGCCAATAAAAGAGCCTCGGACTCGGTTTTAAATAAACCACGAGAACGCGTCTTGCATTTTAGGTCTGTGAAAATTAAAAACTCCGCACAGCACAGTTTTTCTTTAACGTGTATCTCTGTAATCGCAAGCAAATAATTTTTACGTCATTTTGCATACATTTGACATGTATACGTTAGATTAATTGATACTCGCGACAAAATGATGAAAATTATTTGCCCGAAATTGAAGGGGGCAAAGCGGTAAAAGTCGTTCGGGATAATTAAATAATATTTTGTTCGAATAAATAATTCGAACTGATTTATTAATTTACGATCGAAAAAATATTGATTTCAGAGAGTGCATTTTCGTTATGAGAAATTGAGTTCAAGACTATATCAAAGTAGAGCATTTGCGTGCGCCGTGATTTTTTTCAATCTCAAAACCTCATTACTCGACGCAATCCGGTTTTGTTAATTCGAAACCAATTCTCTCAACTTAAGCCAATTAATTTTAACGAGATAAATTTTCTCTCTGCAGTGAGATATAAATGTATATATATATTTTTTTTTTCCCCCTCAAATACCGCCTCGGGCGTATACCCGCATCCCTTCGACGTTGCGTTCTCAACGATCTTTTCGATTCTCCACGAGAGAGGGGATTAGAGCCCCTTGTAAGCGCTTGTTACTGAGTTGTCTATTTAACACGTCGTTATGCGACACGCGTGCATTGTAGTTCGTAGAGGCCGCTCAGCATGCGGCAGCTTTCTTCCCGATGCCTCGCGAAAGAAGCGCGGGAGATCCGGTCGAGGGCTGCAAGCGATTTTCTATGTGTACTCGTCTACTTGCAAAACGATACGTAAAAAAAAAAAAAAAAAACGGGAGAGAGAAAAAGAAACAGAAAAAAAAAAGTCCTGTACTCGAATAACTTTACGCTTAGCGCATGTTTCCTTCGAGCGCAAGAGCCGTTGCTGAATTCTCTCTCGGTGTGTTACTTTCTATTCTGTGTAGCTTCGTAGAGCGAATAAACCGATAAATTAAAAAAAAAATATATATATATATATATAAAAGAGAATCGAATACATAAATTATATAAATTTATACGAAATTCAAACATCGGTATGAGATGTAAAATCGCGTAAATAAATTTTATACGACAGAAAATCATTTTGCAAGTTCTAAAAAAAAAAAAAAAAAATTATCCTCGAGAAAATCGAGAGAAAGACGAAACATGGAATTCCCAGCAGCACGGCTCGTCGCGTAGGAAGGTGCAAAATTTACTATTGTTACGCCGGATCGCGGTCGCCGAGCGCGATCGACACGCGATTTAAGAAAAAAAAGCAATACTTCGAAACTATCGTGTATGTATTGGAACGCCGATAGCAAGGCGAGCGGTAGAACGAGAGAGATGAGATATTATGTCAAAAAGAAATGAAGAGAGCGTGAGAAAGGGTGTGTGTGTGTGTGTGTATGATGTGTGCGTGAGAGAAGCTAGAAGAGCGCGCGCGAAAGAGATATATTATATATACATAAAAAGTAATATATATATATATATATATAAATATATAAATATATGCGAGTTGCGTTTAACGATAGTTACTTGCGAGGGGAAAGGAAGGAAGCCGTGCGCTTTTATTTTTTGTTTAATATAAAAAAAAAAAAAATAATAATATACAGACGAGCCGAGAGAACAACACGTTTGTTAGACGCGCTCGTCGCGCTTTTTTCTGTATTGCCGTTGCAAAAAATTGAAAAGGCGGTCGCGCGATATATTTCTTTCTGTACATATTGCAACATAAAATCGATCGAAAATCGATATATATATTGCGTTTTGTTGACCGCGATCGATGTAGTGTTGAGAGACGTCAGGGAGTCGGTACACGCTTCGAATACGGTAAACGCTAAATAATCGGTGAAACTAAAAAAATTGTAAGGATTGTTTACTTTGCGAAACATATACATAGAAAATTGTATCTTTGTACGTGTGACAATTGCGTTAGTACGAACTTGACACGTGGATTTGTTGTTACAAAAATGTTTACGTCTCAAAAACGTATGGTCGTCGATGAATTCACGATGTCTTTTAGCGTTCACCGTATCGCAAGAAGGAAAATTTGTATTGACGCGCAAAAAGTCTCGCAATCGATCGCGGATCAAGGAGAGAGAGAGAACCGCCGCCGCGTATGGAAAAAGAAGCCGCAATCGTACGCGAGAGATAATTGATGTTGTTAATTAGGGTATCTACAATTATCGGTAGCGATGGTAGTTTCGTACACCCGTGTCCGTGCAGAAAAGGAAAAAGGAAAAAAAGGAATCATCTCACTGTAGCGACCTTTATACTTTCATATATAAAAAGACGACGGTCAATTTATATACATGCAAAGAGGAAACGAAAAAAAAGAAAAAAAAAACTGAAAACTCTCCCCGGCATTTATTCTTATTGGCGTTGACGCGTGGCGTGAACGCGAGTCCGAGTTTCCTGAGGGAAACGGAATCCTCGCGAAGGGAGGATTTCTCCTCTGCGGAGAACTTTGCGATCACGATCACAATATTAAAACCGCTCGCCCCGTTCGTCTGTATTCTTTTTCGTTTTTTCGTAAACGTGTACATATTAATTGCGAATCATTATGTAAATACTCTGAAAACATACATACACACACGTACGCGCGCACGCGCGCGCGGAAGGTTTATTTTAAAAAGACTACATCATGATATATATATATATATATAAATATATTTACCATGTAATGATATATTTAACAATTAAGGTAAACATATTCTATACTCTTACACGCTAAGTACTCAATAAATATATCTATAAAATTTCCCCGTGTTTGTGTGAATGTCTGCCCCTGGACCCATCCCGACAATCCCGTCGTTATCGTGGCGTCTATAAACCATCCAAACAAAGCCAACAAAAAATGAACTACATCTCAAATAAACGTTAAACACCTCTGTTCATCGGACTCGTTGAAGGCAACTACCATTAAGTGTGTCATCAATCCCCATTGGCCTATGTTTTTTATCTTTTCCCCAATCCTTTTGCGCCTCCTCTTGTCGCAACTCTGTCCTATAAATATATTCGCGAAAAATTTTAGACTATAGATATATAAACAAAAATATATGTATATAAATATAAATATATATATATACACATAATTTATAATATTTTCGCGACGGGTCCGACGACGTGGTCTGACAAGTACCTATGGATACGTGATGTGATGAAAGTTGTTTTTCTATCAATAATAACGAAAAAGTTAATTAAAGTCTTTTAGTAACATCACTAGCGAGTTGTGTTGTCATTACTCTCTCTCTCTCTCTCTCTTTCTCTCTCTCTCTTTCACTCTCAATCACAGTATCTCCCATATTACGCATACACAGCAACGTTGGATCGTGAACGCGTCCCAACGTGTGTGCGATCACATCCTTCCTTATACACGCTCCCGCTACTTCTTACAAATTAGTAAGACTGTGAATGCGTAAGGCAGGAACTTATCTGTTGTGTGTCTGGTGTGTGCTAGCAGAAAAACTATAGGACAATACGGCATGCGGTCGTTAAAGTGTTACGCCGACCGTTTTTTCGTGCTGATCCTCCTTCGTTATTCTGTAAAAATTACATGGAACATGAAAGAAACATGATACAACTAATCGCAACTGAATTTAAAATTCTTAAGTATAAAAACAAAGCTCTATTAAATTGTACTCAGGGAAACATCTACTGCTATAACATCGCTGTAGGCAACGTAAAAAAAAAAAAAAATAAAAAACAAAAACAAAAGACCGCGCGTTAATTCAGAGAATATTTTTAGTGTTCGTGAAAATTATTGAATCAACAAAAACAAATTATGCAGAGGAATTAAATACCACAGCTAAGTATGTCATTTTGTATCATTTTATTAGAAAACAAGTGTTCTCCTTAAGGTTTTAGTTTTGTTTTTTTACAAATGAGTCTTTTTTTCTTTTTTTTTCTTTTTTTTTTTTTACAAATAGAAGCGTGTTATATGGTATTTTCTGTGTCTGTGATTATGAAAAATGCAAATTACATCCTCGTTGATTCTGTGTTGGCGTGCTATTCCCCCTCTTTCCATGTCAACACAAACTTTATAGATTTTTCTCTTTAGAACCAATAGTCACAACCTACATCTTACAAAAATGAAAAGATATAACTCTCTTTCTTCAAGAGCAAATCCTTAAAAAGGAAACAATTATAAGCAACGATCACTATTACACTTCAGAAATGCTAATCAATAATTAAAAAGTGAACAGCAACAGAGCTACATACAATTATATTACAATCGTTGCTTTACGTGTGACACTACATCAGTTTGATTAATTTACAAATACTGTTGTAATTTTGTTTTAACTTATTATTATCTGCACCTGAGGTGTTTTTAATTACCTATATCAATAAAAGTGCACCCCGCAATTGCGTAAAATATTTCCTAGAGAATTGTGAAATATAAAATACAAGAAAATACCATGTACATTTTTTGGTCGTATGTTCGTGGTCTAGACGAAGAAAAAAAGAACGCTTATTGACATCTGTTTGACATTGCATAGATTCTATGCCATAGAAGACATGCGACTAATTCGTGCGGAATAAAAACATTTATATTTGAATTGTGTTATTTCGACTGAAGAAGACTCTGGTCAGAGTCGAAACGTTTCTCGTACGACTTGCAGTAATAAAATAATTGTAATTATTACATCTTTTTCTTACTCGTGACGGTCTCTTCTTCCTCTTATTACTTTGTGTGTTATTCAATTTAGCCTAACATCTCTTTCCGCAATACGCGAATATCTTACAGACATTAGCTATATTTTATGTACATGCACTCATTGCTAACTTCTTTGAAAGTTTATTTCTGATAAAGAAACTACTTGGAAGCAGCTCGTTATGAATTTTGAAATAAATGGAATGTATCTGTTATAGGAAGTTAACAGAACACAATATATTGCGAAAGAGAAAAGTATTTACAATTAATAAATTCTCAAAAAGACACAAGTTTGATGTACAGAATGTCTGTACTCTATAAATGTATAAGATTCTATATACCTAATAAAGTATACTGAATTAAGTAATCGATCGACAAATGAGAATATCTTCCAAACATCATGATCAGACAAATGAGTCATTTTTTTTTAGCATTGGTGCATGTGAGAACAGTTGATTTTCACCAACATTTTTATTACTTACTCAAGACCCAGAGCCCAATTGATACCTCGAACTAGGAGCAAAATTACAGGTTGCCACGCGACCAGCCACCGTAACCAATCCAGCAAATGGCCGAATAAGACATGCGGTCGTTGCCATCTATATATATATTGTTTGTTAAGATATTATTTATTAAGACACAATGAAAACAATTATAGATCTCTTCTTATATGTTGTTGTAGAAAAGGATACGGATTGCGAAACATTTTTTTCAAATCGACTTTCTCTTTGCAATAAGGACAAGTTTGTTTTTTTCCAACGATGCACCAACCTCTAATACAAAATTCGTGGAAAACGTGTTCACAAGTGAGTTTATATGTATTTTCGATCACACCTTGTTCATTCTCGGACACCAAAAGCTTATTTCCGCACACTGCGCAAACATTTGGTTCCAAAACTCTGGTAGGCATACTGCCCGGAGTATAATACTGAAATTGCATTTAACGTTGTGAAATTGTGCTTGTGTGTAATGTTTATTTAATACACACCCCAATGTGTGAAGCCATCGTGTCGGCACATATTTCGGCAACATCTCTTGCTAATACTCCAAAATAGAGACCATAGAATAGAAGCAACATACTCCAATCCATCCAAACATGAGGCTTAACATCGAATAGAAGATTTACACCCAAAAATGTGAATATTACTAAAAAGTAACCAATCAACCCTAAGGCGTAGCTGAGCTTGTAAATAAAATAAAACCATTTGTACACTAGCCTGAAAAAAAGGAGAGAAAAAAGTGTTTCTTTAATATTAATAAAACATTATGTAAATATTATATTTATTGTGTGCAATATATCAATAATATAGCTTGATATTACCTAGGTGTTGTACCTTCTATTGGTTTTTGTATAGCTTTTCTTACTACTAAACATGTTATACATGAAGATAAGAGCCATATAAAAATAAATCTCCACCAATGATTCTTTAAACTAATTCCAAATGGAATGATCCACATGCATATTAGTGTCACCAACTGCAAAAAAAAAATATTCCGTGTGTATGCGTATAAAATTATTTCAAATTTAAATTCACATCAGATAAAAATAAATTTTACCTGATATGACTTAAAGTGTCTCTTCTTCCATTCAATTAATACAATCTGTGCTACTACTAATGTTATTAATAATATAAGTAGCATTTCTGCATGCATTGATTCATGACCCTTGTGTTGTGCCTCCGTCTTTGACAACTCGAGCCTAACAAATAAGTTTAATGAAAATTTTATAGTGATATAAATTTTTTTATACATGTACATATTGTTTTATATATTTATTTATAGTTATATCGTTAGCAACAATTATAAAAACTTGAAAACAAAAATATCTTGTTAACAATGAAATTTTCTGCGACTTACATCCATTTTTCCTCTGGCGTTAGTTTGTCCTGGCTCTAAAAACAAAAACATTCATACCGTCTAATTTTATAGATGCATAATTGCACGTATACAAAATCAAACACATAACCTAACCTAAAGACATATAAAATTTCTCTAAGCAATGATGCGATTATTGACAACAAAATAAAAGTAAAACATATATATCGGAGCCTAAATTACTTAAGGATTAAGTAACGCTTTTTAAATTATTGGTACACGTGTTTGCGCGACATAAATTTGCATGACATAATTTTACACGTGGAGGTTATGTCATTGAAAAATGTGCAATAGTATAAAATACTTTATTATGTGAAATAATTGATCTGCGAAGTATTGTGTGCACTCACTTTATTCGCTATTTTATGTATATCCATTATAGATATTATATCTCATTTAACGTGTACAGAGAAAATAATGTGTCAATTCATGAAGATAAGAAAGCCGACGCTTTTCTGACACATCTTAGATCGTTTAAAGTTTCGAGGCAGCGGTGCTCATTGATCAGGTGCGCTCAACCGCACATTCGCGAATCACATGATTCACTATCTTCAATTAATTTAAACGGTCAATTATTCTGCAGAAATTAACCAATCGAACTTCGGTCAATTGACCGAAGTAACCAATCACGTGACGCTCAATCGGTCGGAATTGGTTGACCTGGATCTTGACATAATGCTGTAAAAAAAAATAAACAGATCGGAAGCACCTTCGACTGTACAACCATGGACTGCTAGTCGGTATTTTCATGATGTAATAGGGATTAACAGCGTCTTTGTCGTCTAAGTGACAGAATCCAGCGTCGACCAATTGGAACGCGACGAAGAACACCGTTGTGAAAACAAGCCTTGTGAGAAATCTAATCATTGGGTGCGTTCAGACAACTCAACGTTGAGAGATCGTCACTTATGATAGGACTATTCTTCAAAATCTGATGCGGTTCCAAAAGTATGATCCAATCAGAAGTGATTATCTCTCAACCGTTGTGCAACTGTTGAGTTTGTCTGAACGCACCCATTTTTTACCAACTAATCAAGTGTATAGTAAAGTGTGTCTGATTAACAATCCTCTCCTATACCGAGCATTTACCCAAATATTTATTTTCCTGATTAAATAGGATATCTAAATTACCGTTTCCTGTCTCATCAAGAAACAGTAATTTTTTATTACTCTCTTTACATTTATTTATTTTTTTCTTCTCTCTTTAATACTCGAAAAGACATATCTTATTTTATATTCTGTTTTATTCTAAAACTGTGCGAAAGATGCGACACAAGGCGAAAAATAATATTTATAATCCAAGATTAAAAATTCATTTATGCCGCCCGCGCACGTCGCGCGTGCGCGAACCACGTTGTTTCGGACGGGAACTGCGCACGCGTGTGAAACCGGCTTGAATTCCCAACCTGCGATCCGTCTCGCGCGAGATCGCGGCTGTTCGGTCGTCTACGGAGCTAAACCACGCCCCGACATAGTGGGAAGCGCTCTGGCAATTTCACTCCGCTGAATAGCAATACGAACGGTTGTAGTACCGTTCGTCACAGAGGAACTACGACGTGATAAAATTTCGTCGCCGTGAAGAGTTCGATAAAAAAAAAAAAAAAAAAACTCGCGCCGCCGTGTCAGCGAGCCACGCGGCTTTCGTTGTTCGCGTGAGTATTAAAAAAACTTTTGGTAACTCGACCTCGCGTTTCGACTCGCGTTCCGCACTCGCGGTTACGGTACCGTTCGTCACAGAGGAACTACGACGTGATAAAATTTCGTCGCCGTGAAGAGTTCCAAAAAAAAAAAAAAAAAAAAACTCGCGCCGCCGTGTCAGCGAGCCACGCGGCTTTCGTTGTTCGCGTGAGTATTAAAAAAACTTTTGGTAACTCGACCTCGCGTTTCGACTCGCGTTCCGCACTCGCGGTTACGGTGGGTTTCTTCGTCGGATTTGCAGGAATTCTTCGGGATTCTCGGAAGAGTATACACACACACACACACACACACACACGCATACTACCCGCCTGGTCCCGTCCGTCGATCGCCGCCGCGCCGAGGAATTCCGTTCGGTGAGTAATATTACTTATCTTCTCTTGTGTAAAACGCCTTGTTCCCGACACGGGCTCTCTCTCGTTGCGTCTTCTCGAAAATTTGGAGCGGCTGGTCGTCGTCAGCCGGCTGCGTTACCGGCGTTCTCACCGGTGTTTTTGTATATTATGACCTCGGCGCGACCCCCCCTCTCTCTGAAAAAGTTCCTGCGACGATTCTTCGTTCTCTCGTCGGAAAGATTTATGTACCGATAAATAATGCGAGGACATGACGTTCGTAATATCTATCTATCTAATACTACGTCGTCTTTGCACGTGTATGATCGTTATTAGCGTTACATATTTATCTCTCGCGCCGTTAATCTCGTCAGAAAAATATATACATCGCGCACACATAATCGACATTTGTAAAAACTTTCTTGTCTCTCTCTCTCTCTCTCTCTCACGTCAATGGTATAGTAAACACAATGATACGGGTCACTTCTTGCAAAAGTGTTTTACCACGTTTCGGAGCATTCGTAAGATGGTTCTCACGAACGTTGTTTTCTACGGAATAGTAATTAATTACCGTCAGTAATTAGATTCCGCTCTTGGCGTTCATTCTCAATTCTCTCCTCGTGACGCTTTCAAGGACTTCGCGCGAGAGTCTCATTTTAAGTGTACCGATTATAGAGGTCAGTTACCGGTCAAGTCTTTTCTCTTGCAACATTGTTGTTCATTTTACCAGTGCGTTAAACGCGCCGTTTACTTCGATCGCAAAATGCATCGGAATTGTGTTTACGTTTATTGCGAAAGAAAGTACCGAACGCGTTTTACCGACCGATAGTCTAATAACGTATACGGTTCGCTGGCATCCATCAAGAGATCCTATTAATCGGTTTTTTGTTGCCGACGTTCAAGTCGTTATATTTAAAAAAAAAAAAAACCTCAACATACCAACATCGTCGGTGCCAATTTAAATGTGCTGCAAATGTGTTGTAGTTCAATATAAGTAGTTCTCCCGGCGCAAGGGGAGAAAGTTTCGTCGCGGCATCGTGATTACTGACCCTGAAGACGCGCACCGCGGAATGCGGAAAGTATCACGTAGAAGGTCAATAATTTCGCAGCCCCGTTCGGATCCCGATCAAAATCGAATCGAAGAGATCGGCGTTAGTGTATCCCCGTTGAAATCCCGAAATCAACGGGTGCGGCGAAATCCGCGAGACAATCATCGATCACGTTGATTTATCGTCGTCGCACTCGTTAACATTAAACTTCGTTACGTGATTAATTGAGAAATTAAACTTTACTGTCTCTTCGCATATATCCTTGCATTCCAAATTTTTTCATTATTACAACCACGTCTTTATGTTTAAATAAAATTAGATATTACGCTTAGGTTTGTCTTGTGTGTGTGTGTGTGTGTGTGTGTGATATTTATTCGTTCTGTAAATTAAATAAATAAACAAGTAAATTATAAACGGAAAAAAATTAATTTGCTGCCGAGTATCGCGTTGCGTAACGTTCTAACCGTTGTCGACCCCATTTCCGCAAATTGTATTTTTCTGGCACACTGCAATTAATACAATTTTTGTCCCTCTTCGGGGAAAGGGGGGATGAGGTTCGATAATGCGGTTTTACTTGGCGCGCGCACACGCAGAATGGATATAAAGTCAGGGAACTTCGAAGGAGGAGAAAGAGCAAAGTCCTCTCTCGCAACACAGTCGTTTGGATGTCGTACAAGTTGGCGAACCGCCAGTTTTCCAGTACTCTCACCCGCGCATTCTCTCAGACGCCCGCAATATCGCATTCCTCGTCAGCATCGCGTGAGCTTAGTATGTGTGAATGTGTGTGTGTGTGTCTTTATGTGTTGTGTATAAGATTCGCTTCCGTCACGGAACCTTAACATATAGTGATCCCAGGCGCCACATGTGTTCGCCCGAAAACTTGGCGTTAACACGTTGCCGTCGGAAACACACGACCGTACAGAGTGTTATAAAACACCTTCTTCGCAAATCTTTCTGATAAAACTTTTTTGCTAAAAGTTCAAATTGAAGTGACACGATTTATTTCTTTCTTAAAAAAGTTTCAAAATGTTCAAAATTTCCAAGTAGCATAAGCGGGATTGTCATTATCGTAATTATGAATAGATAGTTATTACGTTATTCACACATTTTTCTTTCATAGAAAATGCGTTATCGGATAAATGTTCAAAACTCGCTTGTTCTTTTTATCGGTCATGCTCTTCTTGAATTGTCGCGGAGCTTTAATCTGGAGCAAAAGATAGATGTTTGCTTTGTGATATATTCTCTCTGAAATTTCAAGTCTCGGTCCACGATCAAACACACACACACGCGCGCGCGCACACATACTGAAATTGATGACATTATCTACCGACAAAAACAGACAATAAACAACTTAGAAAACTGTCACGGTATCATAAATTGTGTCCAGTAAATATCTTGGATTTCATCTGGCAAAAATATCGAGAGAACGAACGCAGAGAGGAAGTTTATGTTAAAATAGAAAAAACAGTTTATTTTATTTTATTTTTTTTAATACTCACAAGTTATAAAATTCGAAAATCCTTCGCTTCTCGTAGATTCTTTCCCGTCTACCTTGGCAACTTGCGTGTGTGTGCATGTGTTGTGTGTAGCACTGAAATCATAACACAATAAAAACTGATATATCAGTCGAAAAATACGAGATAAATCATACGTTGCGATCTTATCAACGGGCTGATGATAACGAAGTTGCAGATCACACGCGTGATCGCGATAACAACGTCTCTTCTTGTACGAACTCCTCCCAGCTACCTTCGTTACGATTTTCCAACAATGGTGTTTCCCCCGACGAATAAGATTAACTTTTTTCATAGAGACATACTCTCTGTATTACGGTTTACATTTTTTTTAATGGCTTACATTTAATATGTCAGAAGAAATACGGAGTTTCTTTACAAATGAAACGAATAGAAATTTCTCTCTCAAAAAAAAAACAATATTTTAATTAAAATCGAATTAAATAATTAGAACACGAAGAAAATAACATCGTGTTGGAACACATGATTGAAAAGGTCGCGGCAACGTGCGTATATGTGGCGCTATTTTATTGGCTGAATGACGTCGGTCTCTCTCGGTAATCACTGACGTCTCAACGTAATTGCACAGCGCTTCGCGTGAGGTAGATCGGCAGTAAACCGCTGGAAGGTTAAGGCCGAGGATAACGATTGTTCACCGGAAAGGACTAGCGTCATTTATTATCGTCGCATAAAGGAGACTGAATCTAGTTCGAAATTAATGTGGCGTAATAATATTCGCTTAATGTAGCAGTAAAATACCGCGATGTTAAGCACAGTGTTGGCATCGTCACGATATATATCAAGCGTATTTACAAAATTAGCTTTTATCAAGCTATCGATAATTGCACGTAACTTGAAGCGTGTTTAAAAAAAAAAAAAATATAGCTCGAAAAGAAGGACGTTTATTAACATCTCCGCACAATTTACACAGAATAAATAATTTTTATACAGTTTTTACAACCTAGTTTTAATGCAAAAAAAACTGACTCGAAAACTTTTTCCCCCCTTCTCCCGAGATACCTGTTTGTTTGTTTGGAAATGAGTTTTTATCGTAAAAAAGTTTGTGCAGCCGCAGACGAAACGCTGTGCAGTTTTCCAGTGATACGCGCATTCCTCGACGGGGACGGCACTTCCTCTGCAAGTATTGTAACGGGAATAAGTAACGCGCGTGTGTATCGTAGTTATGGAAGATCTACCTTTAAAACGAGAGAGAAAGAAAGAGAGAGAGAGAGAGAGGAGGATGTCTATAAGAGATAAATCACGTGCGATTATACAGATTTCGCTGACACATGAACCATTCGATATTTCTCTCGTGTAATTGTACATCTATGTCTCGTTGCACCTGCCCACGTCGCGTAACGTGCATTAAATCTCTGAAAGGACGTTGCATAGGCAATGTGGAGCATGACAGTGAATGGAACGAACTCGACTGTTGGGCGAGTAAACAACATCCGCCTACCTGTAAATTCTTTGCGTAATATCTATATGTATATCTATTTATACGTAATCTCTACTGAGATAATTCTCTGTGTGTGTATGTGTGTGCGCGCGCGCGCGCGCGCATGATCCCAATTCTCTTTTTATTATTCGCCTTCTTTGCGTAATAAGGCCTTGATGGTCGTTATGTATGTTAATACGTTGAAATTTCATCAATCATCGATTTTCAAGTTGCAAGCCGTAAACAATATCTTGATACGTGCGAGTTTAAAAAAATGCAAATCGGCGAGTTTTTGCACACCCGATATATTTTTTTTTTTATTCATACGTACATATTAATAAATGCGCTTTACATACGCTTTACTGTTATATTTATTTAAATTTCGATTATTCTTGTCCGTCGTTGTTGAAAAGTAAACCGCGCGTTAAAGATGTGAACGCCGAAAATTATATAACACAACAATTATTATTTGTGCGAGGTGCGACTGTTTTTATTTGCGTTTCCGTTTTATAACACTTTAATCGCCGGTTTTTCGCACGATGATTGATGACAGGCGTAAAATTCGATTTCTCAACATGCATCGCGAAAGTGACATTCATCGCCGCTCTCATCGAGAATAACCGCACGACTCACAACGGAGAAGGAAATCACGCGGAAAAATGCGCGCTCGTAAATTTTTCTCGCGTCATGCAAACATTACCGAATATTTATTCGTTTACGTATGTGTTCGTTTCGTTGTCGTTTTTTTTTTTTTTTTTTTTTTTTGTTGCGCGCGCCCAGAAATGTCAATTTATATTCATTAACAGACAATGTTTCGTACATATTAATGTCCTTTACTCGTGTTACGGTATTGTACATGTATTTCTTTCCGCGCGTTATTATCACATTTAACGGTTATGATTAAACATACAATTACATTTTGTAATATTCTTTGGAGGAAATCTCGTAATTGCTCTAAGAATGAAAAAAACAAAAAAACCAACCTGACACGCTAACACGATCAGAGTCATTTGAGAGCAATAA